CAATGAAGTAAGAGAACAATGCAGAGATTGAAATAAAACGATCAAGAAAAACACCAAAGGAGCTTACTCTTTTTCAAAGTGACGTTGTTCTTCCAGTATTAGTCGTAGTGCCTCCTGAAACACCTCGTGTCGACGTCGCGTCTCCTCGGCCTTTGAAAACGTTTGTTTGTCAATCTCTGGTAGAAGAGCACACAGGCGGTGGCCATGTGATTTCCAGCGATTCGCCGATGATATGTTTGCCAATGAAACGTAGACGGGCCATCCGACAACACCACCATCAGTCGTCAGTGTTGTCTCGTCAGAAAAAATAATTACAGCCGCTATTACTTCTTCTTCCTCCAGTTTGGATTGTACACTGCGCCACCACGTTCCAGTCTCTGGCCCCTTATATATTACCCACGCATTTTCAGGTAATTCTTCCGGCTCGACTACAAAGCCGTCTGCATTTGCAGGATTCTGATACAATCCACGGACACATGACATTGTCGGCCTCCAATATAGGTATATTGGTTTTGAATCTCCAGGTTTGCTCACGTCCACCTTTAAAAATCCGGTCAGATCTGTCTCTGCCGTCTTCGCCTCTTCATACCTGCTGAATTCAGCTAAGGACTTAAGGTTCACTTTGCCAGGATTTTCCAGGGCTTCAATGACGATGTCGATCAACTCCTTTGTGTCTGCTCTTGAAAGTCCCACACCACCCGCCGCTGTTTTACAGAATCTGAAGAGTCGAAAATCGATGTCCACTACGGTTGGGTTAGCACGTGGGGAGAAATCATATCCGGTTGTATCAGCGTTCGGTTGTGCGCTATCTGCCTGAGGCAGCGGTCGGCCAGCCAAATCTGCCTCTTGTGCAGCTGCTGACCTTCTCCTCTTTCTACTCTGGTTTTCTAAGGCTTGACCAGCCTCACGAAGTCTGGCTGCGTACTCCTCATCTCCGCCACCACCAGAAGCTCTTGATGAAGTCTCTGCTGCTTCGCAATACACGTGCTGCCCACGAGCAAGGTGACGTGCCTTCTCAAGAGAGGTTTTGAAGGTGACTTTACAACCTTCCTGGTCACAACTGTACTGCACTTCCTGGTCCGCCATAACAATAAGGGGTTGGATTAAATAACTCCTTATAAATTTACAGTGTACACACACTTGTGCACCAGCCAGAGACTACCACTCCAATCTAAACTAGTGGTCAAAACTCTGGCACCGGCGGAACAAGCGCGCTTGCAGTTGAAGGCGTTACGGAAGCTGCTACGTGGCGGTTGTTGGTGACGATGTCTAACCCCGTTGGGCGGTTGGAAGCTGAACCTGCAAGCGCAATAGAGGGTGTAAGAGTACGTAATGGGGCATTAGAACAAGGCCTCACTGAGAACATGTGACATTGATACAAATATACATAGAAAGTAAAACCCCAAAAAATGAAACAGCAGGTTACAAAGAAAAAAACAAATAAAAACACCAGAAACTAAGCCAGCAATTGAGCTCGAGCTTACCACTGCGTCAGGAGTTTACGTCGCAGTTGTCGCGTGAGGGATCAGATCAAGCGGTGGCGGAATGCAGGCTGCTGCGAGAGGGAGTAGAGATGGCCGTCGTTACGCTGGTTGAGTGGATCATCGCGAGTTCTGCGACAAGACACAAACTGTTGTGATCATGGTTAGCGTTGAGCAAAAATCAACTTCAAAATAGGAGTGTATCAAATCAGTACCACCCTAAAAGATACGAAAATGGCGGAAAACAAAACAACAGCAGTAGGAACAACGACTACATTAACTTACCGTAGCGACAACCCCTTCCCGCATCAGACACTGTATGGGCTTGCCAAGTTAAAAATAACCAAGTGCAGAGCAGGCACAAGGAGCATCTGAAGGCAAGCAGGGACTTGGTGAAAAGCAAAAACGGGGAAGGCTGGAACAGTCACAACAAAATGACGAGGGGTTCCCACGACCCCTCTGACTCTGCTCCGAAGTGTATCGACTCTGGTATTTCAGGGCGTGTTCGAAATCTGTTTCGAACACTCCCGTGACATCCGTTCTGTCGTGTCGGTAAATCCTGACCTTCGGTTTGAAAACTTATACCGTCGCGATTCTCCGGCATTCGACGACGGTTGTCGGCAACCCTTTTCAGAGACACCCTGAACGGCTCGAGTTCAAAAAGGAGAACCTGCCTCCCCACCATCCAAACTCGACGCGTGGCAACATCTGGTTTAGGCGGCTGCTGACCAAAGGATGTACCCAATCAGTACCCAGGATCGAGAATTTCGATGACATCTGTCACCTGATAGGATCGCCACCTGTCTAACCAGAAAAGTCGTTCTGGTAGGATCAGATTTCAGTATTGACAACATGTTCAGTTACATACGTCAGTATTGTGATATGTTCATTTACGATAAAATATGATCACACATTTATGCTGCTCATAACATTAACAACAATATCCTTACCACAATGCAAAATAAACACTTTCAACCAACTATTACATATAGAATTAACAACCCTAAACAATCTAAACGCCCGTGTGGGAACGATATGCATTTTCAAAACCTCTAAATCCGCAAAATATAATTATCCCGTTTAATATACTTATACAAATATATTAAACGCACTACAAATATAACCACTTGTTGTTTCAACCAGTTGGTAACTGTATTGCGCGAGCCTCAATTCGCTCCCACCAAACCTACCAGCCGAGCCTGCGTAGTTGACATCAAACACCCAGAAACACGCGCACCACTTCACATCTCACGCAATACCCCAACAACACTCCCACGAATCATGCGAGCAACATTCTCGCATGATTCCCAACCCCTGGAAGACGAGGAAGAAACAAACAAGATTCGCGCATGTCACAATCCCCTCCCCCCTGTTTTGCGATGGAGACAATCGAAGCTGTCAGTTTTAGCAACGCAATCGGAACAGCTCGAATAGGCTCGTACTACTAGTTGTACGCTTGCAGCAGTCCTAGTACTAGGACAAAAATGGCGCGGCTTCCTGCTCTCTGCTTGGCTTCCGTGGCTCTCATTCTTGTAAGCTGTGAGTCGCCTCTCCCTCGCACGCATTTCCCTTCATTGGTTGTTACACCCATCGCCTTTGGGCCGTTGTCGTTCACGAGTTCTGTTATTTTCTATATTTTCTATCTATTATAATTATTTCTTCTTGGGACGACGAGCTTCCAAGGGTTCTACCTGGCAGCTAGAAAGTGCATAATCTAGCGCGCCTGTGATCCATCATAACACTCGGTCCGAGGCAAACTGAGAGTCGCAGACTAGATTGCCCTTGGGGCCGCCACGCTCTCCGCATCTCGTTCTGACAGGTCGCTCGTGCTGTAGTATGCGCAGGTTCGGAGGCGGTACGCCTCGTACCCAGTTCCCACTCCACCGTTGCCCGCAACGCCACCAGTGGCAGCAACACCGCCAACACTGGCAGCAGCACTGGTTACGCTGACAGCGCCACCAGCACTGGCGCCATCGCCGGAGGGATTAATAGCAGCAAGCCCACCAGGACCAGACCCAAGGTGCGTGAGCATGCCATTCCTTTACGACGCCCAGACCCCCGCTGCTGCTGCTGCTGTTGCGCTGAATCTGTCTTAGGTGCCTCAGTAACTCACATGACCGGTTTTGACTACAGGAGTGCCTCAAACCCGCCTTGAATCTAGACTCCAGTCCTTGTTTTTTTCTGGGCGCCTTGAGCAATTATCCCCATCCGTTTGCTTTTGGCTGCAGGGAATGGTATATGTTGTCCCTTTTGCCTTTTTTACTCGACAAATTGTGCCAAAGAAGGTGCAGCCATTCGATACCATTGGTACGTCTCTCTCTCTCTCTCTCTCTCTCTCTCTCTCTCTCTCTCTCTCTCTCTCTCTCTCTCTCTCTCTCTCTCTCTCTGTTGCACTCTCTCTCTGTTGCACTCTCTCTCTCTGTTGCACTCTCTCTCTCTGCTGCACTCTCTCTCTCTCTGTTGCACTCTCTCTCTCTCTCTCTCTCTCTCTCTCTCTCTCTCTCTCTCTCTCTCTCTCTCTCTCTCTCCTCTCTCTCTTGCACTCTCTCTCTGTTGCACTCTTTCTCTCTCTGTTGCACTCTTTCTCTCTCTGTTGCACTCTCTCTCTCTGTTGCACTCTCTCTCTCTGTTGCACTCTCTCTCTCTCTGTTGCACTCTCTCTCTCTCTCTCTCTCTCTGTTGCACTCTCTCTCTCTGTTGCACTCTCTCTCTCTCTGTTGCACTCTCTCTCTCTCTCTCTCTCTCTCTCTCTCTCTCTCTCTCTCTCTCTCTCTCTCTCTCTCTCTCTCTCTCTCTGTTGCACTCTCGCTCACCCGCACTTATTTCTGTCCTTTCTTTTTGGGTACTCCAAACAGTGTTTTTGAACGCCGGATTTGCCACCAGAAAGAAGCTTTATCAATATCCTTCAAAGTTCGCCTTTGAAGTCTGTGAACCCGGAAAGAGGTTATACAAATTCACTTACTTGGGCCAGGGATTCCGGTACGTAAATATATTCTCTGGCATTTACACATTCTGTTTTTCGGTATATTTTTTTTTTCCGGTGAAAACATGATTTGCTGATGTCACCGGCTCTGCTCTATGTCCTTGCAGCTTCAACGTGCCGCACTCTGCTGCCGGAACCACCTTGTATTTTAGCGCAGACGTTTTCTTTTGTAATTTAGGGTTTTCTGGCATGAGTTTCTCCATTCGCGTTGGAGGACACACTTGAGTACTAGGTCAACGAGCACAGGGCCAGGAATGATGTAACAGCAGCTTTACCTAAAGCCACCGAATCTTTTGATGTATTGTTTTGTCTCAGTATCTTAATGCTAATGATTCTGTGCGGGCAAGGAAAAAAAAAAAACGGCGAGTCTTGGAAGCAAAGTACAGACTTCAAACCCCACTAACTGCATGTGCTAGGATACCTTCATTCACACTTTGTTTTGCACCCCAGCAAATACAACACAAGGCAGCGCTTAGCTTCTAGCAACCCCCACACCCCCTGGTTGCTCGCTGTACCCCCCGCTATCGCCCCCAACCTCACCCCCCTACAACCGGCCCCCTGCCAGCGTCCTCCAGGATCTGCACCTCAGCAAAGACATGATGCCGTTCTTGAAGTACTTGCTCTCATCCTGCCACGGCCCACGGCCGCCCCAGGATGTTGCTGTACCCCCAGTTGCTCGCGTTCGCGCAGGTAGATGAATTGGCCCTCGGGCCACCGCTTGGCGTAGAATATGAAGCTCACCTGGAAGGAAGAGGAGGGGGGTCGGGGGGGATGGGAGGGGGTATAGGGGGGGAATGAAACGATGTGTTGGGGGGTGCAGAGGGGTGCCAAGCCCTTGTTCACCTCCGGCCGCCTGCCTTGCCATGCCATCCCACCCATGATTGGACTGTGCATGCACCAATCACGCTACAACCCAGCCCAGCCCAGTCCAACCCAACCCAACCCAACTCAACCCAACCCAGCCCAACCCAACCCAACCACACCGCACCTGGATCTCCGGCTGCACGCTGTGGCTGTTCTCCAGGTGCAGGTAAATGTCTAGCGTCTCCGTGCCATCGTCCCGCCTGCCGTGCCGGGCTGACAGGTAGAACCGCTTCCCACCGATCCCAAACGTGGCAGACTCCACCGTCGCTGCCACTGCCAGCGCCTGGAGGGGGAGAGAGGGGAGAAGGGAGGGGAGGGGAGGGGAGGGGAGGGGAGCAGAGGGGGGGAAGAGTGGAGGGGAGGGGAGCGGGGGAGGGGATGGGAGGGGAGGGGAGGAGAGCTCTGAAACCAACAGAGCACCCACCCACCTGAAACCCACAGGGCACCCACCTGAAAGCAAGAGATCACCCACCTGAAACCAACAGAACACCCACCTGAAACCAACAGAGAGCCCACCTGAAACCTCTCCAGGTGAATATCGAAGTACACGTGCCCCACGGAGTTGCGGTTCCAGCGGCGCTGCCAGAAGCGCCTGTGCGTGGCGGCCGTCTCATTCATGAGGCGCAGGCGCCGCACCAAGCTGTATGCCTGGAACCATGCTGCTTCCCGCACCTGCACGGGCCACGAGAGAGGAAAGGTGGCAGGGAATGTTGGGGGGGAGAGTTGGGGTCGGCAAGTGCTGCTTCCCTCACCTGGCAGGTATACGGGAGAGCAAGGCAGGAAAGGTGGGGTGCGGGAGGGAAAGGGGGGGAGGGGGAGGGTGGTTGAGCACCACACCCCCTCGAGAGCAGCATGGGACCCTTCCCCATACAAACCCCAATCTGACCTGACACACTCTAAAAGCCCACCCTCCCCACCACCCGCCACCTGCCAGCCTCTCACCAGCGCCTGGCACTCGGGGCTGTCCACTTCAGGTGCCTTGAGCACCACGTCCTCGAGGTCGTCGCCCGTCATGAGGGGGAACCGCACGTGCTCTGCTAGTCGCACGGCTGCCCGCCTGCGGTGCTGGAGAGCGGTGAAGAGTGGTGGAGAGGGAACAAGAGCGTGGAGGCATGATGGTGAGGAGACGAGGGGGTGAAGGGGGGAAATGAAATGAAGGGGGGACGAGGGGATGAGGGGGAAATGACGAGGGGACGAAACCACTCACTTCTTGTCGTCCAGATCATCGTGGTGGTGCCTCAGCCACTCCACCATGGCGTGAAACGCCGTGAGCTCGTCGCACACATTCAGCTCATCACTGGCAAGCAGCGTCTGCACGCCCACCAGCGGCAGCTCCAAAAACTCCTCCCCTTTATGCACGCGCTCCAAATCCCTGAAATGCGCCACCAGAAACCCCCGGGAAGCTTCGAGCAGCTGCGCGACCCCCCGGTGCGAGTGCATGGAGTCGGGGAGCAAGAGGTAGAGGCAGGCGGTGGGGACGGTCATGGGGAGGTTGACGAGGCGCTCGAGGCAGATCTTCATGCAGGAGGCGACGCCGAACTTGTCGGCCACGAGGTGTGAGAATAAGCGAACAGGAATGAATGAACTAGCAGTGAAATGAGTACAAGTAGGAAACCCTAGAATTGTGTACCCCCTATAGGCTAACCCACTGTAGCCTACACAAGCATAACATATATAATGTTTGACACACCCCCATAGGCAAAGTGGGGGAGAACAAGGGGTCACAAGACCAGTCAAGCAAAGCAAAGCAAGCTCAGGGTGGATCACAAAGTCACCACACAGTCCGAGCACAAGAGCAGGGCCAGAGGCCAGTTCACATGCAGGAGTACAGACATATATATAAAACTAGACAAGCAAGAGCAGGTATATATATATGTCACAGTACAAGTGAAGTCAAGAGGAGAGCAAGTGAGGCAAGACAGGCACAAGACCCAGCTGGGTGCAAAAGCGCTGATGGTCACAAGGCGCGAGTGCCTTGGTGAACACATCAGCAGTGTTGGCCTTAGAGGCCACGTACGCAAGTCGCAACTGACCACGCTGCTGCAGCTCACGAGCAAGGAAGTAGCGGAGAGCAATGTGCTTCGTTCTGTGCTCCAAGCGCTGCTCTCGACACAAGGCCAGCATGGCCTTGTTGTCTACGTACAGCACTGGAGGAGAACGAGGCGGCTCTCCAAGGTCAGTCAGCAGGTAGGTGAGCCAGCGAAGCTCCTGTGCAGCCATGGCCCCGGCGTAGATCTCAGCCTCACAACTGGAGCCGAGAACCGAAGACGAGCGAGTAGACCGCCACGAGACAGAGCCGGAACCAAGGCTGAAGGTGTAACCCTGTGACGACCGCTGCGTAGCCTGGTCGTCAGCCCAAGAAGCGTCCGCGTGGCCGGTAAGGACCACTGGACTCCGCCCTCCAAGCACAAGCCCCATGCCCGACGTACTGCACAGGTAGCGCAATACCCTCTTCGCTGCAGCCATGTGCTCTGGTCTATGTCTCCCAGGAGCAACATAGCGTGCAAGAATGCTCTGAGGATATGCAAGGTCAGGTCGTGTGCAGGTCATCAGGTACATGAGGTAGCCAACAAGCTCTGCATACGGACCACTCGACTCTACGGACTCATCCGAAGGCAGAGCTGAGAGTGAGTGGCGAGTAGGCAGAGGAGTGGCCTGAGGCGAGGAGTACGTGAAGCCGAAGCGCTGAAGGACCTGCTGCACCATGTGTGACTGAGTCAAGGTAATGGTGCGGCGTGCTCTGTCCCGAGTGATCTGCAAGCCAAGGTAGCTGCGCAGTTCACCCAGGTCTGTGCACGTGTGTCTCTTCAGCAGTTCGGACTTCACGTAGGCGAGTCCAGCAGTGTCCGCTGTGGTAAAGACCAAGTCGTCGACGTACACGAGGATGTAGAACGGCGGCAGTGAAGTGTCGGTGCGCAGAAACAGCGACGGGTCAGCAGTAGAAGGAGCAAACCCAAGAGCCGCAAGCGTAGTCCTCAGTGTGTCGTGCCACTCACGCGGTGCCTGGCGGAGACCGTAGACTGGCCGTCGGAGGCTCCACTGGGTGCCAGGAGGGAAAGTCCCAGTGAAGCCAGGTGGACGGCGCAGCCAGATCTCCTCGTGCAGGCTACCCTGCAGGAACGCAGTGCTGAAGTCGAGAGAGTGAAGCTCGTAGTCGCGCTGAGCGGCTATGTGCAGCAGCACCCGAAGAGTGGTCATCTTCGGGGTGGGAGAGAAGGTCTGAAAGTAGTCAACTCCCTGCCGCTGACTGAAGCCACGAGCAACGTACCGCGCCTTGAAGACAGGTGGAGAGCCCGGCGGCCGCTTCACCCGGAAGATCCACATGCCACTGACGATGTTCGCCCCAGGAGGGGGAACTGCGTCAACGTAGGTGCCTGTGGACTTCCAGGAAGCCATCTCTGCATCCATAGCTGCCTGCCACTGAGAGGAGTAGGGACCCTCTACGGCCTCCGCGTAAGAACGCGGAGTCGGGATGTCTAGTGCATCCGGGTCTCCCTTAGGGGCAAGCAGTACAGACGCGAGATGAGGTGAAGCAGCCGCTAGACACTGTAACTCCTCCTGTCTGTCCTCTAGGACGTCCGTGCCAAGAGCACACTCACCCCCGACGGACGGAGGACAGACAGACGCAGACTCAGCAACAAGACCAGCAGCGTAGTCGAGACGACAGCGAGCAGCAAAGTCAACGAGCTCAGCGACTAGAGCAGACGCAGCAGTGGACTCAAAAGAGGGGTCAGTGACGACAGTAGCAAGCAGACGCGTGACAGTAGGACTGGCAGCGCGAAGAGAGTCCGACTCTGGGTCGGCAAGCGCAGGAAGAGAGGACTCAGGAGGCGAAGGCAAAGGGGCACGCAGAGGAGCAGTGGACGGACGCAGAGACATCCGGTGCGTGCCAAGGACAGGAGGAGGACGCTGACGCGAACCGCGACCACTAGCGCGAGCAGCACGAACAGGCGACGCGGGACGAGACGCAGGCTCACGACGCTCAGCAAGACCTCCAGTAGGACCAGTGTAAGGAGAGGGAGCAGGCAGAGGAGAGGAAGGCTCCAACGGTGACTGCGACTGGACAGGCTGTGGACACTCTACCGAAGGAGAAAGACCAAGAACCTGCTGTAGGAGCGGAACGAAGTACGGCCGAGGCCGCGCGGCAGCTCCAGACTCAGCAGGGACAGCACCAGCACCCTCAACGACAGCACCAGCGCCACCCACACCTCCAGCGGCAGGACCAACAGCAGTAGGCTCAGCACCAACGCCCTCAGCACCTCCAGCTCCAGGAGGACCCGCAGGTCCAGCAGCTCCGGGACTAGCAGCACCCGCACCCTCGACGGTCGAAGAAGCTCCAGCTCCAGCTCCAGCAGCACCTCCAGACTCAGCAGCACGCCTCCAGCGGCGAGCGTACCACTCGCGCAGCTCCTGTGGAGAGAGGGGCTCCCTGCGAGACGCAGCAGCAGGAGAAACCCCAGGCTCAGCAGCTCCAGACGCAGCAGGGACAGCACCAGCACCCTCAGAGACAGCACCAGCGCCACCCACACCTCCAGCGGCAGGACCAATAGCAGCAGGCTCAGCACCAACGCCCTCAGCAGCTCTAGCTCCAGGAGGACCCGCAGGTCCAGTAGCTCCGGGACCGGCAGCACCCGCACCCTCGACGGTCGAAGAAGCTCCAGCTCCAGCTCCAGCAGCACCTCCAGACTCAGCAGCACGCCTCCAGCGGCGAGCGAACCACTCGCGCAGCTCCTGTGGAGAGAGGGGCTCCCGGCGAGACGCAGCAGCAGGAGAAACCCCAGGCTCAGCAGCTCCAGACGCAGCACCCCCAGGCTCAGCAGCTCCCGACCCAGCACCCCCAGACCCATCACCTCCAGGCACAGCACCCCCCTGCTCAGCACCCCCAGGCTCCGCACTCTCCGCAGTAGCACCCGCAGGCCCAGTACCCCCAGCAGTAGCACCCCCAGGCTCAGCACCCCCGCGCACAGCACCCCCAGAGTCAGCACCCCCAGGCTCAGCACCCGCAGCAGCACAAGAGTCACCTGTAACCTCGACCGGGTCAACGGCGTCTACCTGGGACACACCTGAGGGGGCAGGAACCTGAGGGGGGAGGGGGTCTACCGGGGGGGGAACCGGTACAAGGAAGTCCGGGGGAGGGGGGAGGGAAGGAGTGCGGTAGGGGAAGAGACGGTAGAAGGGGACTGACTCGTCGAACGTGACGTCCTGGGAGGACAGAACACGACGAGAGGAGGGGTGGTAAAACTGCCACCCTGGGGCGTCAGTGGGGAAGCCAAGGAAGACACAGGGAGCAGCACGAGGGGACAGCTTGTCCGCAGACAAGTCGCGGACAAACGCCCGAGATCCCCAGACACGGAACACAGACGCATCGCCAACCTTCCCTGTCCACAGCAAGGCTGGGGACATCGCAGGCCGAGAGACCCGGGGGTGAAGGTTGAGCTGATGCGCCGCGTACCTCACCGCAAACGGCCACAGAAAATGGGGGGCAGCCGCATGCATCATGGACGTACGAGCGACATCCATGACCATGCCAATGCGGCGCTCAGCAATCCCATTTTGCTGTGGTGAGTCCGGAAGCGTGAAGGACTGGCGGATGCCTCGCGCACGACAGTAGGCACGCAGAAGGCCAGAGGAGAACTCTCCGCCTCTGTCCGAGTGCAGACGCAGAACAGGAAAGTCCGAGCCGAAGCTCTTCCTGAGCCGGAGACGAGCCTCGCGGATCCAGTCGATCAGCACCTCAGTGACCTCACCCTTGCTGCGCAAGGGGAGGACTGTGGTGTAACGCGAGTAGTCGTCAACCACCAACAGGAAGTAGCGCTCGTAATCCTGCCCACGGACGGGGGCTGGGCCCCACACATCCATGTGAAGCGTCTGCATGGGAGCCTCTGTCGGGGGGAAGTGGGAGGAGTGAGGAGTAGCCCGGAGGCGACCCTCGACACAGGGGACACAGGAAGGTCCTGGCCCGGAGGGGAGAGGAGGGAGAGACTGGGGAAGACCAGAGACAAGGACACGGGAAGCCATGCTCCGAAGACGGGGCAAGGAGGGGTGGCCAAGACGGTGGTGCCACAGGAGAGTCTCGTGAGACAGGAGGCGACAAGTACAGGGGGCAGACTCAGGACCAGACCTGGACGCAGCAGCAAACACCTGACCCGACGCTGCTACCTGACCGGACGCGGGGACAGGAGGAGACTCAGTGGTCAGGGTGTAGAGGCTCGACCCCGGCCGACGCGAGAACGTGGCCAGGTGCCGGCCTGTGCGTGCGTCCGTGCAGTGGGTCACCCGCTGACTCGCAGGAGTGAACTGGTGAACCCCCGCATGCTGTAGGTCTGCACCACTCACCAAGTTCGTCGAGAATGAGGGGAGGTACAGGCCAGACAGGGTGCCCGAGGGGGCAGCCGGACACGGGAGGACAGTGGAGAAGTGAGCGAGGACAGGACCCCCAGAGGGGTCAGCCAGGGAGACTGCAACCGGCCGACCAAGCGGCGTGAGTGTGGTGCGGTCCCGAAAGAAGGAGCGAGAAGCCC